CAGCTTGGATTGCAGATCGTGATCATTGGAGTTCAAGAAAAAGCAAAAGAGTTTGTGGAATTCATCAAAGGTATCATTCTCATCACAGTTTCTATCTAAACACATTGCAGATCCTCGTTTGGGAATTGAAAATTGTTTAATTTCCGCTGTGCATGTTAAGTAAATTCCCAACAACTATATGGTACCTCGTTCCACAATTATAGTTACAATTTGCTTTAGCAAGTATATGCACCATCATCGATAGATTCATGTTTCATCAAAGAAGTGAGGTGACAGGAAAACGGTAACCTTGTAATATTCGCAGTCTGATTTGAAAAGTAATTTATATCTGTTGTGGCGGGCACGACTAAAGCTAAGCAAGGCTATGTGTGACAGTCTTTATAGAATGACTTCAAGACTCGTTGTTATGCACAATTCATGGCTCCTTCAGTCGCACCTATTTATCTTGTTGAAATTTATTTTTTGGCGAAACTGACGACTGAAAGATAAAATGTATTTTGAATTCCTACAAAAAGTATGGGAGAGTGATTTATCAAATACTTCCATGTGCACAATTCATGGCTCCTTAAGTCACACCTAATTATCTTGTCGAAATGTATTTATTTTTTGGTGAAACTGATGAGCGGGAGGAAAATTGTATCGCGAATTCCTAATGAAGTATGGGAATGGAAGAGTGTGATTTATCAGTTACTTCCACGTCTACATCCTATTCACCTTTTCCTTCTATCACCAAAAAGAAGGATTACATGACATTTTCCAAGTAACCTAACAGCAGGCAGGCAATTATAATTTTTTTTCCTGGGACACAAATGACCTTACAAATTATCCAGCTTAGACCAAAATAAATTTAAATTAACACAACTGCATCAGTGTCACAATGTTATGTAGCGGATTGGGTAATGCTACATGTACACACACACTTTTACACAATCTTTTACACCTCTCTCACATGGAGGGGGGTCCACGATTATTTTATTATGTGTGGGCCCCCTTCCATGTGAGAGAGGTGTAAAAGATTGTGTAAAAAATTGTGTACACTTAGCATTATTCTTAAATTAATCCCATACTGCACTATTTTCACCATTCACAGCGACACTTATTCCAATAATCACATCATAGC